CTGCTCCCCTCCTCCTTCCTCACAGGTCTTAGGGCTGTCAGAGGTAAGGCAGAAGACCACTCTCCTCTTCCAGAAGACCACCTGCGTGCAGCACAAAAGATGAAAATCTGAGTATGGAACAGGTTCTCCCTGTGGCTCACTGATGAATACAGAAAGCCAAATACTTCTCTAACTAGGGGTTTTCTAACAGTCATTTAATCTCTATAAAATCCATGGGTTTAAGCAGAAACACCACATCTCTAGAACCAATTCATCTTTTGAGGCAAAGCACAGCTGATACTTGGACAGTGAAAGATAAGCTCACTGGGCTGCGTAATGCAGCTGAACAATAAGCTGGCTAAAGGAAGGGTTTATTGTTAAGGTATTGCTTGTCAAGCTCACAGCCTTGAAGGAGGCTGCTTAGCATGAAACACTGGAGAAGTGGGTGTACGACTGCAGGCTGTTCTTATCCCCGGGTGGAATTTACTCCCACCACAGTCATGAAGTCTTTGAGACACTGAGAGAACTGCCTTCGGTCCATGGAAAAATTACTAAAGTAGCCAGAGGGAGATAGACTGCCTTAACATATTAACTTTGCTCTCTGCTGGTAACGAAGGAGAGAAGTTTTTGTTAGTGAAAGCAATTCGAACAGAGGGAAAAAACTCAACAGCAAACAAAAGCAACACTGGTCAGTTCATTTTGGCACACATCAGGCTGCAATTCTGCTGCCAATGTCAATGTATTACATGCTGTGTAGCTATAAATTTCATTTGTGTTTGAATAAACACCAGCATATAGAACTGCTTTGGGTCTGCCTAATGCAGTCTGTCTGTAGACAGGATGGAATCATCATATTTCTTCACTTGAATGGCCCCCAAATTAAAATCTTTAGTTGCTCTCAAAGTACACGTACCTGCAATCCCTTGTAGCAGCCCACAGACATTAAAAATGCTTTTCTTCATAATACTCTGCACACACATAGTAAAGACGGACACGAACGCCACAGCACAGAGAATCATGATTCCCATGGCTAGGAAAATAGCGGTTGCCTGCCAAAACCCACTGGCAATCTCACTGAAGTTTTCGGCGTAAGGACCACAAAGCGTGTCTCGTCTAGAAAGCTGCATGTGGGAGATTCTGGTGCAGCGCCCGTAGATGCCCAGTGTTGGATGGTAAGGTTCCTGCGACCCCCCCGTTCTGTTGTCGACATCCTCGGAGCTTGAAGGCTTTGCTTTGCCAATCAGCCAGTCTGCGCTCATGAAAGCGATAAGCTCTGCGAAAGCCACCACAATACTCAGGAGAGTCCATAGCATTGAGCGACATGTTACAATGACATGACACATATTGATGTCCAGTGCTTGTGATCAGTGCAGCTGACGGTCTTAAAATCCAGGCACGAGGGGGAAAAAATTAAATCGAGAAAGAAGAAAAGGACCCTAAGAAAATAACTGTGGCTGCTCTTTCAGCTCCCTCACAAAGGCCAAGATGAAATTTCTCAGGAGAAAAAGTGAATGGCCCCAAGTTTTGCAAGCAGTACAGTCATTTGTTCTCTCCGTTTAGTTCCTCCTTTCTTCTTTCTGGGATGCTGAGTTCTAAAGTACGCTTTTCTTCCTTAGTATTCATACTGGCACATGACGCTGCAGGCTGGCGGGGGAGGCTGCAAGGACTGCCCACTGTTTGACATCACACACCTACAATAAAAAAGACAACACATCAGCAGTGAGAAAAAAGTCCTCGTTTCCACCCTCACGGTAAGCCAAGATCTCGCACAGATCCACATCAACATGCAAAAGCTCTAACAACGGCCTGTCAAACAGAGCCTGCTGGAAACCTCCTGGGTTTGTCCCAGGGGAGTGATTAACCTCCTGCTGCCTGCCCGGCCGTACTTATGGTATCTGCCCTGCCCCATCCCATTGCGAGAGTTTGTCAAGCACTTTGCAAGCAAAGGTCTCAGTAACACCCAGCGGTTCCACCCACTCCTACCACCACGCCCCCATCATCTTCCTCTGGTCAAAATCACCAAGGTTGCTGGCAGTTACCCAGTAAAACGTTCGCACAAGTTTAAACAGTTTCACAGACGTGCAGCTCCTGCCTTCAGTTTGGGGAGGCAGCACGGCGTGCCTTTGGGAAGGAAGCTAGGCACAGCTCCACATGCCATGGGCACCTGGGTGCAAGGTGCAACAAAGGAACCTTATTCCAACCTTCCGGGCTTCTGCTGACTGCAGCTGAGCCAACCCCAGCCTCGAGAGAAGGCGAACAAGATTGCAGCTGGGGACAGCCCGCCCTGTGATGTGGTGATACCGCCCATCCCTTTGAAGCCTGGGTTTTGAAGGAGCAGTGCTTCTCTGGGTTCTGTATCCAGCTCTGCTCCAGTGTTTCAGAAAAGCAATCTGCCTGCAGGTATGTCACACACCTCATCTTGAACTGATGCTGACACCAGCAGCCTCCTGTGACTTATGCCACTGTAAACAGGAATCTGTGGAAAAAATGTCCCAGTCGCTGCCAAGTGGCCAAGAGCCTCGGCGAGGGGGGTTGCCAGTCAGCCTTGAGCTTCCTGACTCCTATCGATTCCCCCTTCCACAGTCCTGTGCATGCTGTGACTGAACCGGAATGTTCCCCAGGGCTTTCCCCAAGCCTTTATGCTGCCTTTCAACAGTAGCTGATGACATTTCCAGAGTTACACTTATCTTAGTACAAGAGGCAAGCAGAGATCACTACCAACTCATGCCCAAATATTGGCTTTGAAATAACAAACGGGTCATCGCACACGCCTCTGTGCTTGAAATGAAACTGAGTCGCTGGAAAGCAAGGAGGGGAGCAGGAAATGCCCTCATGTTACCCCCTCCATGATGAGAACGTAGCACTTCGAAGTTTTCCTCACAAAAAACAAAATATCGACATTGAACTGGAGGCAAGAGAGTCGAGAACCAGACCTGGACCTCACTGCTGCACTGCTGCCAAACACAAAGGGGTCAGCAGATGCCAGAAAAACAGACATCCACAATTTTTATTTTAGCTTTGTCATGGGGTTGGTATTTAATTTCTTAGGAGTTTTGAGCCCAGTGGTTGAATCCTAGTGCCACTGAATGCAAAATGAAACACACTCACAACTTCAACACATTCAGAATTGCATCCAGCAGTTTCTACTCCCTCCTGTACTAGTCATAGTGAATCATTTGCAAGATTTTATCCACATTACTCTTCCTTGTCTAGATACGCAGACTCTTCTGGTACTAGCAGATACGTGGACTTCAACTGCTGTGCCAACAACTCGATTTTGCCTCCCTTAGTTCAATGTTACAGCATTGCCTTAAAAAAAGGCAAAACATATTTAGTTGTGCATTTAGCCACACCAAGATAACAGTTCTGCTCATTTTCCATTTCAAGCAGCCTGACATACTGATGACTCGAATACACCCTTTGTAATAACAGAGAGCTGAAGTGTCAGCCTGCCAAAAAAAAGTTAATTCTCTCAGTATTTCCACTTTAAATAACAACTGGAATGCAGAAAATGTCCACTACAAACCTACGTTCTCCTGATGTCATCTGCACAATTAAAGAGAATTTAATAGAAAACGTCTTTATTTTTAAAAGAAGTTTCAAAAAGCTCTAGAATCTGTAGTTCTGTGGAAGCACCGCACCCTTTTGAACTCCTCATCTTTGTAATTCCAGGATTTTAATTGAGGTGCAAGGGACATAAGAGTTGAACATGCATCACAGCTGTTACTGCTTACTCTGTACCTGCTGAATATAAAATACTGTTTATTGAACACAGATGAGAACAAAGTTCATATTTACTTAAGTAGGTGAAAATTTCAGATGAACACTGGCAGCCATAAAAACATGGTACTGATAAAAACCACAGGATTCTTTTCCATTTGAAATGCAAGTGCAAGAATAAATTGCAGTAACTTTTTAAAACACAGTACCTCCAGAAAAGTCACTGCATGAGCAAAATAGCCTGTCTAAAGACGATACAGAGGTTGCGTCAAATCTCAGGACTTCACTGAACATATACTTCCCCATTTTTCCACACAGGGAAACTTCGCAGCACCTAAAGGTTAGTAAATGTCATCGACAGTTACAATTCAACAGAATATACTTTGCTTTCCAATGAAACCTTCGCAATTCGGCTTTTCCCAGGTAACGAGTACTTTATTCTGGCACAAAAGTATCTCCAGAGCAACGTACCCTTATTTAGGGGAGAACTTCTGCATAAATTTATTCTTGCACTAGTGATGCCCTTGAATGGGAGTGCCAGCCACCTACAACTCCTTTTTGTGAAGAGATGGACAGAAACATATGAAGTAGGATGGCGCATAGACCAGACAAGGCGCAGCGGTGTTTCTTTGTGAAGCTTAGCAAGGAAAGGTTGCAGATAAAGTACTGGAGGTAAGTTACAGTTCAGTCACACTTGTGTAGTTAACCTTTTGCTTCCAACACACCTCACCTTAAGTTTCCAAATGAACCTAACCAATTCTCATGCAGCTCCAACAGCACGTCTGTGCCATGCATCGAAGTCTTTCCAGATACAGACTGTGCTAAATAACTACGCTTCATAAAGCTTCCCTCCAGCACTCAGCTCACCCCTTTTCTGCCATTTTTGCTCAACAGAAACTTGAGCTAGGCCCTTGCAAGGCTGGAAACCGGCTGTTTATTCCTCCTCTCAGTTTCCCATACCTCGACAAGTTTTTTCCTGACAGAACTGTATGTTCTTCACAGCACGCCACTTAATATCCACTGCTGACTGACTGTCAAAACATTTGCTTTGACAGCCCAAATTCAAAATATACAATGGTTCTTTAACCCCTTTGGTATTAAGTCATTCAAAATAATGCTCGCTGAGGAAGAACACTACAAAAAATAGGCTTGTCCCTTAGTCTTTTGGGCCTCCCTCTATTTTTACTATTGCATTCAACGGTACTGGCGTGAAAGGAGGCCATCCACCTGGGCAAGCAGGTGCACCAGGAGGAAAACAGCCCCACATGAGAAGTAACCATGTGAGCCACCCACCATGGCATCCAGAAAGACTGAGTTCTTGAACGCAAAATTCTTTTGGTTGTTTTAATCTAACAAAACAAACCATCTTAAAATATCACTAAAACTCTCTTCCGCTTTAGGTGTCATTTTGACAGCCAGATACACTGCCTCAAGTTACGCTTTCACATCTCTAAGACTTTTACTCTAGAACATTGCCATGTGCTAAGTAGCTGGTGAAGGGCTTAGAGCAGCAGCTGAGGGAACTGGGGCTGTCTAGCCTGGAGAAAAGGAGGCTGAGGGGAGACCTTACTGCTCTCTACAGCTACCTGAAAGGAGGTTGTAGCGAGGTGGGTGTCAGTCTCTTCTCCCAAGCAACAAGTGACAGGACAAGAGGAAACAGTGCCAGGGAAGGTTTACATTTAATCTTAAGTTCCTTCACTGAAAAGGTTGTCAAGCATTGGAAGGGGCTGCCCGAGGAAGTGGTTGAGTCACCATCCCAGGGAAGTTGTTGAGTCACCATACCTGGAGGTATTTAAAAGGACCTTGATAGGCTTGAGAAATGGGCCA